GGCCAGGGGCTTCCTCGGTGGGGGCGCCCGGGATGGTCCGGGCTGCGCGGCGCACAGTTCCCCAGTTCCACGCCTCGCGGCGCGCTTGGCCGCCTCTTCTGTGAGAAGATGAGAGAGTCAGGACCCACTTTAGGTCAGTTTCCAACTCCGTCTCGGAGAATCTCCATTCTTTGTTTTTGTCCCTCTCGGGTTCCTGTATTCTGGGTGAACTTTGATGCAGGGTGGATCGATCGCTTTCCTCCCCTGCCTCGATCTCGTTTGGATTGCAGGAGTTTCTCAACAGGCTTCCAAGGCACCTCTATTCAGGGTCGCCTGAGGGGTGAAGGGAGTTGTAATATGATTTTGAATATTCTCAAAAACCTTTAGTTTCTCTAGGGAGGTTTTGTTTCTGTGTTGCTGGTTAGAGGCGCATCCTTGTCTCTGTCGTACGAGGGACTTTTCCTCCCTGGGCCCTGGGGACCCAAAGCAGGGAGCTCTGTCCTTGTGCCCCATTCCTAAACCTTCGCTGTTTAAAATTTTTTCTTTATATATTTGAGACACACACTCCCTAATTTGCCCAGGATGGCCCCGAATTTAAGAACCTCCTGCTTCAGCATCATGAGTAGGCGGGCTTGTAAATGTGAGCTACGCGCCCTGCTCTCTGCCCAGAGATTTTTAAGGCTGCTTCTCCAGCACAAAATTTGAAGCCTTGAGAGCTGTCTAGAAATCACCACTCGTTAAAATTTTATCTCGTATTTACTTCCTCTTTACTTCTCAAAGTGAAGTACGTTCTGGAATAATGGTATGAACTTGAACGATTGAGAATGTTCACGGATGGGAATTTTAAATCCGGTATCTTGATGATCTTCACTTATTCCTTAGGAAGCTTAGAGAGGCGGAGTGACTGCATTGTACCAGTATCGTGTGCGGAAAGAAGTATGGTGATAACACAGACCCACTTCTTTTGCTGCCTATTTGTGTAGCACGGAATCCTTGTGTAGCGTGTTCACTGTGTCAGGAATCACCACTGCCTCAAAATGCTGGTCTATAGGAACCCGAAATTTGGAAGACTGGGTTGTGTCTTAGGTGAAAAAACAATGCATAAGATAATGTGGGATGCAAAATAGCCCTGGTAGCCTCTATTGTGGCTTTAAGTCATTTTTACTTGGTAAGTGCTGTTTTCTTTCTGGGGATGCAGGAGAGTCACAGAAAAGAGCAGTGTAGGAGTAACCTTTCCCACATTTTTACCTTTAAACTTGGTTGGATTTAGCTCAAGAAAAATCTGAACTGCACTTTTAAAAAATGAATGATGCAATTTAGGCTTTAAAAGATAAAGTGCCTGAAGTAGGTAATTTTAAGTCCTATTATAGAATTCAGTAATTGTACCACAGATTGCTGGAGAGCTTAGGGATTTATTGTTCAGAGAATTACTGCATCCTTTGGGAAACAATTTTAAATAAACATAGTTTTAATTTTTCTATTACTCACAGAACCTTTAGTATATTCTGTAAGGTAGTTTAAGTATCTTTCAGAAAACTCACTCGGAAATTTTTAATATAAAATTTAAACTTCCTGTTTATATTCATTGTTGTACTGGAAGATGTTATATGGTGATGGTTTCATTTGTCAGCTTTGTCCTTATCATATGATCAGTGCACTGCAAAAGAGAGTTGAGCGTGTAGATGACTTGAAAGCTAAAAATTCAGAAGTTGTTCCTTGCAGGCATTCCTCACTGAATTGTGTGCTTTGGGATCTTTAGGGATTTATCTGTCTTTACTTCTGTGGCAAGTTTAGTGAATATTTTTGCTGAGCTGCAAAGGAGTCAAACCACTAGGCGAACAGTCTTCTCAGAAGTTTTGAGAACTAGTTCATAGCCCTTGGCTAGAAACCTACTCAGCAGCTTACTCAGAAGATCCCTTGAAGTCACTTAAAGAAAATGTCCAATCAAAAAAATTAGTTTTAAAGAAAAGTTTTGTATTTATTTTACTACTGAGTTGAATCTTATTGTAGCATGTAATAATTATATCTGTTGTGATTATCATCCTTGTCTTAAACTTTTATTACTAAAATACTTTGGGGATGTACCACAGCTAATGGCATGTAGCTTAGCAAAGGAAAATCCCTTTTGGTGAGTTCTGTACCTTTTTAAAAATAATTAGTCTAGTGCTTGTTTATTTTCCATTTTTTAAAATTCCTTTTTTAGTCAATAAATATTTATTGACCACTTAACCATGTACCAGACACACTTATATTTTAGGCGTGGAGGCATAGGAGTGTATACAATGAATATCTTTGTTCACTGGGGGATTATATTTTAATGTTTAATTAATTTCCTTCTGTTACGTTTGGAATTTTTCTTGCAGCAGGTTGGAGAATTTCATAAAATTCTAAAAATTAAAAAAAATTCTTTTTACAAAGCTAAGGATCCTTAATAGGCAAATATGCTAGAAATATCACTGATGATATGGAGTAACACTGTCAGACATCTAAAGATCCTGTTCCCAGCTCCCTGGGAAACAGGATAGATTCAGTGTCCCCTGGGTGATCAGTGTCAGCAACCAGAATAGCTATCCTGGAAATCTGTTGCTTTGACCTTGAGTTAATACACAAAGTGTGGTGTGCAACCCGTTTTGCTTTTTATTATGACTGTGAAGTGTTGTGTTTTAGTGACCCTTAGGGTTAAATAAAGGCATGTTCTTAGACATGTATGTGTTTGAGCACAGATGGGAATAGATTAAAGTGTTTGCTTCCATCTCTAGTGTCCCTTGCACACTGTCACACAGATAATGAAAAGCGGTCCTTCTCCCTGAGGTGTGCACGGCCCAGAGGACACAAACCCGAGCGTAAATAACAGACTCAGTGTGAGAAAGGCCGAGTTGCCAGCTTGGTGGCAGTAGGTGTGGGGACGTGGACAGGTTGTGGTTATTTCTGTCCAGGGAGTCCGGAAATCCCAGAGAGGAGGCCAGGCCAGAAGAGGGGCTTTAAGATGAAGAGGAGTTTGGATAGAGTGGTGAGGGCCAGGGAAAGCTCATTTCAGGTAGAGGCAATAATTTAAATGAGACAGTGAGGAAATTGAAAATTAAAGTATCATAGTAGTATCAGATCATTTTAGTAATAATGACATAAACGTGTTTTCAGGTCTTTAAATCCAGTTCTGGTTCTTCCTGTTTTTGACACATGTTGAGTTTACTGTAAATTGATATCGGTAATATTGACACACATTTGCTTTATTCAGTAATTGTTTGATGAAGGGGCAGGTTTGTTGCTGCTTTTTACTCGAGTGAGTGGTCCTAACTATTCTAATTTTATTTTAGATAATAGCATTTGATGAGCTGAAGACTGATTACAAGAATCCTATAGACCAGTGTAATACCCTGAATCCTGTAAGTTACGATATAGGATTTATCTTTAGAATTTAAAAATGTATTTGTTTTTAATGACATAATTTGAAAATGGCCAATATTCTCAGTGGCATGATGTATTTGTATGTTTTGATATAGGCAGAATTAAAAATAAAATTCTTTTTTTTCTGTCGTGCTTGACTGTTCTGACTTATTAATCTACTGGCGATCTTGTCAGCTGTCAATACTAACATTCTTCCAATCTGCTTTTTACATTGTCGGCCAAAGACAGTTGAAAAGGTCAAAAAGATTAAAAGAGTCAAAATTGCACTAAAGGTGTGTACTGCTTTTTAGTTTAATGTTTTAACGCTCTGTTCATTTCATGGGGAGGGTTAGGGCATTTGTATTTGTACTGTTCTGTTCAGTGTGCTTGTTCATAATGCCTGTGGAGGTTTATGATTTCATGAAACTTCATATTTTATGCAAATGTTTGCTTGCTGGCTCAGACAAGTAGGGAAAGCTGTTAAATGCTCGTGCATTTTTTATGTTACAGCCCTAGGCACATCTATATTAAATTATTCGGTGCAGTATCTGACAGTTGGGTAACATAAAGTGAGGTTTTGGCAGGCTGTGAGGTAGTATGCAGAGGGAACTATAGTGGAGACTCACCTGCCTTGACTAGCTTTAGCTTTGTGTGTTCTAAAATAAATTACTGATGTTTATTCGGACCCTTTTAGGTAGCTCTTTTCTTGGGCCCTGGAGTTTTGTAACGCTGTCCTTTGGACTTAAGATGTAAGAATTTTACAGATAGCAGTTTGTGTATAAATCTCTACATAGTTACTTCTAGTGTGTTCTGTCTACTCTAAATTTCTAAGGTAGACTGATACATTGTCCTAAGTTCTGAGGTGATCATGTGGATTTGTGATGATGTGAATTTGTTTTCTTTTTTCTTTGTTTAGGAAGATTCTCCTTGAGTCTGTAGGTTTAATTTTACCTGATTGGTCAGAAACTGAAAAGCTGTTTATAAGAAAGCAGTCACTATATCTTCAATAGAACATATTAATTCACCTTTTAAAAATTACCTAACAAAAGTGAAAATTTGTGTAGACTTCAGCTGTGTAAAATTCTAATGCAGTAGTGTGCTAGAGGATCTCATTTGAAAAAGCACTTGTCAGTTTGCTGCTTTGTCATTGTTTCACAGCTTAATGTGAAGTGGGTAAAAGATTTCTAGTTTGTTTACCTAGAGAACTGTTGCTACAAGGAAAAGTAACTTACTAGCTGTTTCTTTGTTCTTAGAAAACAAAACTTGAAAAGATGAATCTGCCTCTGGTTAAAAAGTATGGAGTGAAAGGTCTGAGAGTAGCATCCTGAAACATCTTTATGTTAGCAGTTGAAACTACGTTACTAAGAAATTAAGAAGCTTCCATTGCTCCTTCTGTTTTTGAATAGTTTCTGTACTCTTGGGCTTTTTATTACTTTGAATAACCAAATGATCATGAGGGTAATAACAGCTGAAATCAAGTGAGTACTTTCCTGGGTGCCAGGTTCTGTGCCACAGGCCCTTTCCCTGGATATTTTTGGTTCAGCTCTCAGGACGGAGATGTGTTGTCATTGTCGTGACAGTTAGCCAGGTTGCATGTGAGGATAAAGGACCTCATCCAAAGTTGCACGGCAAAGTAGAGACCAGAACGTGAACACAGGCAGCTTGATTTTCTGAAGTCCAAACTTTTACATTTTCCTAATTTACTGTAACTTTAAGAGGGAAAATTTCATTAATAACATGCAATGTGTGATTTCTAGTGTTGGGACATCCTGCTGCTAGGGCAGGTTATGGCATTCCGGAGAGGTTGGGATAGGGTGCTGGCCATTGGCTGAACAGCAGGGCATCTGACAGTTTTCCCTATTTCAGTTTATTTTGATGGTTCTGCCAAAGTATGGGGGAAGACATACTATTTTGTAAAATATGAGCCTTCACAAGAGAATATTATTATGTCTTACATGTTTAAGTGCTATCATTTCAGCCATCTTTGCCTAAGTTTTTTTTTCCCCCTTCTGGATATCAGTTTTTGTGTGAACTAAATAGAATTCTGGTACTTAGGGCAAAATGTCATCATTGAAGAATGAATGAGGATTGGTTTTTAGGAGAAAGGCATAATGAATGTTTCTGGACTTTTATTGAGATGGTAGACATGTGAGATTTATTACACATTAGAGCTGGTAGAGGTGCAGACTTTTTATTAATACTCTTCTTAAGGTATCTGATTGTTTAAGGGCAGTAGGGATCATTCTGATTTCATACTAATTCTCTCTCCATGCCGCAATGTGGAAATGTGGGGTATAACATTGCCCGATAACTTGTCTCAAGTGTCATTGGATTTTAAGGGCTAAAGGGCCTATTACATCTTAAAGAAATAACTTTCGTTCTCCCCCCGCATTGAACTTGTATCCTTGTGCTTGTGAGTCAGGCGGCAGAACCACTGAGCTAAATCCCCAGCCCAAGAAATAACTTTATTAAACTGTTATTACAAACTCTAGCAGACTTATTAATGTATGTTTTTCTTGTTTTGGTTGTGATCATTGAATTTCAGAAAAGTTCTGTGGACATTTTGTTGTTTATAGAACTCTGATGTTAAGCTGGCTTAAAGGTTCACGTACAGATTTTACACTCTCATACATATATCTGTGCAGTTTATCTTGGCTGTTAGTTTGCCTAGGTTTGTTGAAAGTGCCTGGTTAGTGGCATAGATCAGCTGGTGATGATCTAGCAAAGTAGCATTTTATTTAAAATAGTATTCAAACATAGTATTCACTCTGTAGCTTTCCACTGGAAAAAAGTAGTTTGGTGGTACTATTAGAAAGTGGGCTTTAATATGTATCATGATTGTATTATTTCTGCAGCCATGGTTTCCCCTCAGGAAAGATCTGATGGTATTGAGTGTTCATTTGATTTTGACTTGGAATGAGGTAAACATTTGAAAAACTGGCCTTACGTCTGTGACTTACAGGAAAGTATTTTAGCTGAAACATGCAATGAAAGGTTTCGATATTTTTATTTAACAAAGCATTAGGCTTCTTCAGTAAGAAGAAGATTTAAAGTAAAGCATTCAGTCTTGGTTGTTTTATAAATAGCATTTTGCCTGAATTAATTTTTTCTGTTACTGTCTACTGTCAGATGGTTTCTTTTCTTTTTGAGTTTTGAGCCCTGACTGGTCTTCAGCCTTGCAGTATTTCATTGGCAAGCAGGCATAAAGGAACCGAAAGGCCATGTAAGATTGAAAACTCAGGAGCTTGGAAAATTCTAATTTTATGGTGATGAACTCAGTTTTTTCCCTCCTACATTGCAGAAAGCACATTGCATTCGTGCGGTTAGTGTCCCCCGACTGTGCTGACAGTATTGGCTGGTTGGCTTTCCATTGAGAAATTTCTTTTGTGGTAATGTGATATGATTTGCTAAATATTGTATATGTAGCATTCCTGGTATTTGTTAAAGGCGTAAAAACACTAATTATAAACTAAATGAGAGTTTTGTTTCCTGTGGATTTTTTTTATCATGTTGCATGAGATCAGATACCTCATTTTCTTACTTTTATCATTGTTGAATGGTGGAAATAAAAAATATTAGTTGATTAGCAAGTAACTGAAAAATCTGGGTGATAACTTTGTATAATTTAATCCACTGCTCTAAGAATTTAGATTTTCAATTTTGAGTAATATCTTGTTAGACCAGTGCAAGCTCTGGTCAGTTGTGCTTCTTCTAATCTTGCTTTTGGGAAGAAAGCTAAATATGGAAATAAAAACTTATGATTCTAAGAAAATAGTGATGTTCAAAAAAATTTTTTTTTTAAGTGTGGGAACTTGTTTGCCCGCTGCCTTCCAGAGAGCAGCGGACTTCCTGCCCAGTGTCTTGGTAACGGCCTTGTGCTTCCCTTGCAGCTGGTCCTCCCCGAGTACCTCATCCACGCTTTCTTCTGTGTCATGTTTCTTTGTGCAGCAGAGTGGCTCACCCTGGGTCTCAATATGCCTCTCTTGGCATACCATATCTGGAGGTAATACTTAGAGACATCTCTTTTCTAGCTAATTTTCACTTTGCTGTGGTTGACAGGCTTATCTTACATGCTCTTCACCTAAACGAAGATTCAAAAGTGGTTAGCATTTTAAAAACCCAAATGGTTAAACAAATAATTCAGAATCTCTCATGGAGTTTTCATTTCTTTTTCTTTTCTTTTTTTTTTTTTTTTTTGTACTCAGACAAAAAAAATTTCATTTCTTTTTAAAGCAATGTTTAAAAGGTGGAGCTGTGACTTCTGTGCAGTAGTGTGCACAAGTCCAAAGTGTACAGCTGAATGCATTTGCATGCACGTGTACACCTGCGAACCCACCCAGATCAGCGGCCTGCAAAAGCCTTCCTTGTGCCTTTCCTGTGGTTACCCCCTTACCTCAGGACTCCTCACCTCTAGCCATTTAGGTTAGCTCTGCTGCCTTTGAATTTCACCTATGTCAAAACGTATTACTTTGTATCACTTTGAAAAAATTTGATTATTCGTAGAAGACAATCTTTTTCATAACTTCAGGTAGTTCTGCCCGCCCTGTAGCAAGTTTTCTTGTCTTATTTAAATAGGCCTATCAAAACCTTATAGCTGTTTATTTTAGGAAGTCTATACTAAAAAATAATATTTAGGAATAAAGGGATATCGTGTTTCTGATGCTGAATTGCTTCAGAAAAACATGTACGGGTCATTGGAAGTAGAATGAGAAGGAGAAAGCAAGCAGGCATTATAAATGAGGGGTTCTGGTGCCTTTGCCCTAAGGCTAAAGTGATACTGAGATTAAAAGTTCAAAGAAAGAACCCAGGTCACCTCTTTGCTGTCATACTTACTGTGGGGAGGGTTTCTGAAAATGCAGAGCCCAGACGCACTTTGTTTAGCTGTCCCCTCCTGCCCCTGAAGGAGCTTCAGTTTTAGACGATGAAAGGAAAGCGCTCCCCGTCAGTAACAGTGTGCGTCCCTGCCGGCGCCCGGCTTGGTTCCTGTCTGCAAGGTGTGGGTTGCTGACGGATTGTTTCTGTTCCAGGTACATGAGTAGACCGGTGATGAGCGGACCAGGACTGTACGACCCCACAACCATCATGAATGCAGACATCCTAGCGTACTGTCAGAAGGAAGGATGGTGCAAACTAGCTTTTTACCTCCTAGCATTTTTTTACTACCTATATGGGTAAGTTTAAAAAGTACAAGGAAAACAGTTTCACTTTGCTGCCTAAGCAGTGTTCACGTTAATGGTCTTAATGCTCATCATGGTCTTCGTGCCTCGGGATGCACCCGAAGGCTAACTTGGTGTCTTTAATGGTGGTAGCGCACCCTGGCGGGTGCCCACACAGCCCTGACAGGCCTGCACCATTAGGATAGCAGAGCGGCATGCACTGGGGCTGGAAGTTTGGCCAGGATGCTGCTTTCAAGTCTTCATGTAGTGGGAAAGTTTTCTGCTTGGCAAGCACTGTCCCTCTGGAGTCGGTGTTTGATTTTTTTCCTTCATAAATGTCCTTTCTTTATGATCTGCTGTGCCTGGTCTGAGTGGGATGGATGAAAGTGAAGCTCGCATGCGGCTGTGAGCGAGGTGCAGTGGCAGCCTTTTTTCCTTTGCTAGTGCCACGGACTCATGTCATTGTCTCTCCGCTCAGGGCTCTCAGCTTCGAGCTGGTAACATCGGCTGCTTTGTTCTTTATTGTGGGGACTGTTGGGGTCATAGGCCATCTCATAGCCCCCTGACCTCCCACAAAGGGGCCTGTGGGACCCTTCTGCCTCAGTCATGACAACCAGAAATGACTCTTCCCAGACGCCCCATGGGGCAAAACTGCCTTTGCGAGAACCAGTGTTTTAGGTGCGCTGTAAGTGCAGTCAAGTGGTTGCTTATTAAAACCGGCATATGACATGGTTAGGTGTAGAATTAAAGTTTTTGTTTAAGCTGTATAAGTATACTGGAGATCTTGTCACTTGATTTTCAGAATTTTTAAAAAATTTGCTGTATGAGAGCAGGGCATGGTGGTACATGCTTATAAAACCAGCACTGTGGAGGCTGAGGCAGGAGGATGACAATTTCTAGCCTAGCTTGAGCAACTTAACAGCTTAGTGAGATCTTGTCTCAAAAGCAGGGGAGTATTGGGGATGTAGATCAGTGTGAAGGGTTCAGTCTTGTTACCAAAAATAAAGGACGAAAAGACTGTAGAAGATGAGATTGTTAAATCAATTCCATCCCTCTCGTTTTGTTACTTGAAAAATTGCTGAGTGTTAAATGATCGGCTTATATTTGTATTTCTCTATATGTCACCTAATATCCATTATGAAGGACAAATAGACTGAAATTTAGGAAAAAGGGTGTTTTGGGGCTATTAGAGGTTATAACTAAGGCATCTCCAAATGTTACTCATGTATGAAACAAAGATAGTGAGTGAATAGGTTCTGAACAGTGAAATCCAGTGTTATTTTAATTTCCTGTTAATATGTACTTTAACTTTCTGTAAGAAATGCCTGGAACACTGCTGGCTTTAGTAGGTGCTTAAAACATTTGTTGAAAGAAAGGAGAAATGAATGACTGAATAAGCGATAATAGCTGGAGATACAGTTTGGGAAAATGGTCACCAGGACCATGCAGCGTTAGGACATTGATTCTGCTTTAAGTTGTCAGCTTTGCTTACTCAAATGTGCTTTCTGAACCACGTCCCATGACTTGCCTACATCACTCAATGCAGAATTGCCATGGAACTTGAGGAGTTAAATCAAGTACACACTGCCCTTTGTTTCTAGCCCTGTTTCTCTCCTTTTTCTTTATAAAGGGAAAGGCGCTAAGCCAGGGTTGGCGAACCTCTGGCGTGTGTGCTGCTGTGGGTTGTTTGTGTCACTGAAAGCTCTAAAAGGTTCCCATCATTGCTAAGCCTTGGCCAGGGTCTTCTGTAAGGTGGGAATGATACAGTACCTGCCTCCTTGGCCCGCGTGTGGACTTAGTGAGGTGACACGTGTAACGGGCGTAGCACCAGAGTGTGGTGTCTTGAGTTGCTTGCCACGCTCTGGTCCTCATTCAGCTTCAGCTGTGCCGTTCTACTTGCTAAAATTGGGAGGGAAATAGGGACAACTGCAGCACATGCACTGGGCCACGCCCTTGTTCAGCACAAGTCCGTAAGTGCAGATGAAACTCAGTGGGAGCCTGGAGCCTATCACTGGACTTACTTCCTGGGATGGTGGGTAGCGCATGCCACGTAGCTGACTGTATTAAGAGCCTCAGCTGTTTCATTCCCATTAGTTTTTCTAACGAGGGGTGTTTAAACTAACAGCTTCTCTCTTCTCCGCAGCATGATCTATGTCCTGGTGAGCTCTTAGAACAGCACGCACAAGAATGGTCTGCTTAAGCGCATGCGGAAGCCACCACAGGAAGGGACTCCATCCGGCAAGGTCCTGTTCCCGGGAGTAGCCCATGGGATCTGATGAGTTACTTTAAAACAATGACTATTTTTAAATGTTTCCACATTTTTTGCTTGTGGAAAGACTGTTTTCATATGTTATACTTGGACAAAGAATTTAAGTGGAATCACGTATAAATTAATATCAAATGATTACCTCTGGTGTTGACAGGTGGAACTTGCACTCCTTAAGGAACAGCCATACTCCTTCGAATGAGCGCATTAATTACCGACTGTCCTAGTCCCTGGGAAGCTTTTGTTTATAGGAACCTGTAGGGCTCATTTTGGTTTTTTGACATGCCATCTCACTATAAAGTAGCTGTAGATAATCAGGTGCTTCTGATGAAGTGAAAATGTATATCTGACTCGTAGGAAACTTGATAGGTTTCCTCATTTATCATGTAGATGATTATATCTGGATATATTACAAAAATAAGAAGAGTGGGATTTTTTCCCCCTTTGACTTGAATATTCATTATCCCTGTATAGTGCATGAGTGAGAGATTTTCCATGTTTCCATCAGAGTAATATACTTACTTGCTTTAATTCTTAAGCATAAGTGAACATGATATAAAAATATATGCTGACTTGTGAAGAATGCATTTAAAGCTATTTTAAATGTGTTTTTATTTGTAAGACATTACTTAACTAAGAATCTGGTTATATTACGCTTACTCTTCTAATCTGGTGGTAAAGGTATCTTAAGAATTTGCAAGTACTTTAGATTTTCGAAACTGAACGAGAGAGAAAACTGTATAACCATCCTGCTGTTCCTTTAGTGCAATACAATAAAACTCTGAAATTAAGATTCATTTTGCATTGTCTTAAAGATTACGCAAAGCTACACTTGCTTAATCCACAAGGAAGACATGGTACTGTGTGTTTTTTCTTTCTAGAGAATTATTACATTGTGTTTTTATGTTGCCCAGATCTAAAAAGGATTTGGATCTAAAAAGGATTTTTAAATGTCAGGCACCTTAGCCTGTACCCTTATCATTGGAGGAGACTGGTAACTGTTGAGGGCAGTGTCATTATTTCCCTTACCAGTTAAAAAACAGTGGTAGCATGTAAACTGTTTTAAAATTTCTTTTCCTTTCTGAAAGCTGGTTTTAAGTTAAAATGACTTGTGAATTTTGAGTTTTGACTTGTGCTAGCTGTGTTACGGCGTATTTGCTGAGTGCGCTGTGCTTTCTTCCAAGTGAGGAAGTCCAGGCCACTGACAATAGCATGACTGGTTCAGAAGTTTCTCCAGCAAAGATTCAAAGAAGAAAAATGTATAAAAGACCCTATAATGATCAAGGGAATTTACGAATGTTTTTGTGGTAATGTTATTCTAAGTATGTGTTGGGTTAGTTGTTTTTCTCATTGAGTTTATTAGTACATTTTAGGTACACAGTACGGTTACATTCATCATTGGGACCTTGTACCTTTACATGACACAGGTCTTGGTTCTCATTTTTCCCCCTTATCCCTGCCCTCCCTTTACCCCCTCCTTCCTTCCCTATTTACAGATACTTTATTTCCATTTTTTCATTTTCTCATGTTTTTTTTCTTTTCCCTTATTACCTTTCCCCTGTGTTTTTTTTATTCTTTACAAGTGAAAAAATGCTTTCAAATCCGACTTCCCCGCCTTTGGGAGAGGAGCTGTTCTTGCTTTGGGATTGGGTAATTGGGGTGAGTGCATTGAGGAAGAGAATGTTGAGCCAGAAGAGGGAAGAGAGTCGAACCATTTCATTACAAGGAACGTGAAAGACTTCGGCATCTGGAGTCTGGAGAACAGGGAGGGAGCTGATCCTCAGGTCATCAGTCAGTTATTGACTGAGCTCTTGCTAGGCATGAAGATCATGCTTTGCTTTCAGTCGGTTCTGATCCATCTGGTTGTATCTGCAGTCACACCTGTTTCCTTTCGTTTTGGTCCCGAGAGACCTGACCAAATCTACAGTCCACACGCTAGTGTGCTAAGTCAGTACACTTCCTTTTCTTCTTCTAGGATCTTCTCCAGGATTAATTAAATGCTTAGCCATAAGGAGCCGACAGGTTCACCCATCTCACTGGTAGGCTGCTAGCTCCTGGCTATGATAGGGATCAGAAGACTGAGTACCCGGATGCTTTCATACTGTGCCTCCCACTCCTGTGTTTCAGTGTTTTATGAAGTTAGACCAGTTACCAGGCGGAAGCAGAAATAAAATATTTGCATTTGACCGGATTTCACTGGCTGTGCTCTGAATTTAATTTGTTCCTCATGTGAATCTTGGGGCTAGTGCTGGCCTGTCTTTTGTTAGCCCTGTGGGTTCAGCTGAGGTGTAGTTAGCCTGGGTTTCTAATCTTTCCCAGCTTACGTGGGTGCTCACGGTGCAGCAGCTCTTTCCTTATTGCGGTTACTTTTGATGTTATGCGCTTCATTTAGCCACTGAGGGCTCCGGCTCTCAGAAGCCATTTTCTTCCTTTGTGCCTGTCTTAGTGCTTCTGACGTCTCGCTCTACTTGTATCTGTACCAATGACACTTTGTTGGAATCTACAGATTCTCCTGAATTTTAAATCTTGTATAAAAATATAGCCCTAGCAGTTACTCTGGAGTAATATTGTATCATGGCAGTAGGCCCTGTTAGTTCTGAGGAGATAGATGTAGGCTTAGAAACTGTTGAACACCTGTATGTTAATGTTGTTGGTGACATTTGGTGGTTGGCACACGCTTCTCTGACACTCCCCACTCCCCTTCCCAGGGTAGAGGCGTTTGATCCGAAGGTACAGACAAACTGCTACTTTGTTTAAAGTTTGGTTTTAACATAAAGGGAAGTATAGGAAGTGCCCAGATAACCCACTTTTGACATACATTTGTATATCAGTAAAGCATTAGTGAAGCTTCACCTATTAAACCATGAACTGGTTGGGCTCAGGTCCCTGGTTGCTCACAAGGCAGCACAGCACATGGTGGTGAGTGGCGCGTTACTTTCTGAAAGCCAGTGCCGTTTCTCAGCTGGAGCATCACATGTGCTAAGTGTTGGCGCAGAGCTGTTTGCTCCCTGAGATGTATTTAAGGTCTGATACTGGCATAGAAAGGAAGTAAAGCTGTACGCACTTTGAAACTGACAAAACACTCCTTTGTGTAACACTTCTCCTCCATAAGGTTCACAGAACATTATTACCACAGAGCAACTGACGACTTCTAGGCGTCTTTCTGCCCTTGGGGTGAGCTTGCATTTTAGGTGTGGCTCTATCACAGCACTCTGATATATATCAAGGCCACATAGCAAACCGTATTCTATCACCTGACTTCCACAAACGTGCATCTCTCAGTAATCCATTGTAGAATTATAAGTCAGAAATTTTGATGACAAAAATATTCTAAAACAGTGCTCATTTTAGAGGGGGAAGAAAAATATTGGTAATTTGTCTGGTATTCATAAAAGTACTCCTGGTCACACTTTTTGGTAACTATTAACGTTAGTCTCAAACAATTTTTTTGTTTTGTTTTTTGTTTTTTTTTTTTGGTACTGGGGATTGAATTTGGGACCTTCTGCTTGCTAGGCAGGCGGTGGCACCACTGAGCTAAATCCATGGCCCCATATTCTCAAACAATTTTAGGCTCATTTGCTCCTCCCAGTCATTGATCTGTAGCCAGAGCAGAGCCAAAGTCTCCAGTACCTGAGATACAGTTTAGGAGATGGGTCTCTGCTAATGTTCCAGAGTGATTCTATTTCTGAGTATGTTGACTGGCATTCTTGTAACAGTTTTATTTGGACTAAAATTCAGAGCTCTGGAGTAAGTGTCTGAAATGAGTGAAAAACTGCTGCTTGCCCTGCTTATTGTGGAAAATAGTTTTACCATTTAAGATGACTGCTGCGGGGAGTGGAGCGAGTGCTTGTTCTGTTAATTTTACTAATGCAGGTGGTAGAAGATGTGGAGAGCATCTTGACGTGAAAAAGAGCGAATCGCCTCTCATATATGTCAACTTTACTGTACAGTGCTTTTTTTCTAAATATTTGCATTTCTTTGGTTGTCCTGTGTATGAGTTCCAGAGCAGACACATTTCTTACGTGGAGTGATGATTAGGTAAAGCTTAACACTACTAAGAGAAACAAAATGTAGTTAGTGCCTGTGCTCTTAGTTTGTTAAAATCTAAGCTTGATGGTGCTGTACCACTATCCAAAGAAAATACCTTTAGCTTACTTTATCCCTTACAGCTTGCTTATTTTGCTTTTGTATATGTAATAAAAACTGTCTCAGCTTCTCCTTGTGTAGTCTATGGGTACTGCCTGATGTGTGTTAATGAGCAGAATTCCACATTGTCTCTGACTTCCTTAACCCCACCGTTTGGGGGGGATATCCCAGTTTAGGCAGAGAAAAAAGTTTTTCCTAGCAAGTTGGGGTTGTGTGTTATTAAACTTAATTGGACTGACAATTATGGTTCAGTAGTGACATCCACGTTTTCCTTATATGGAATAATTATGTTTTCAGTATACTCAGTATTAAAATAGTTTAACATTTTGATGTAGGCTTAGCACTTGCAATGGAAATTGAGAGATGCATATGCACTTTAGAAATTCAGTTATTAAAGGATTAACTCGTACCAGTATTTCCCTTCTAAGGTATTCATGAATATACCCTGTACTTGTTCTGGGAGCAAGCTGATGTAAGATGTGCTAATGTTTCTTTCAGTGACTGGACCTTAACAGATGTTGCGATTTTACATTGTATTTGGTTGTATTTTAGCAAAGTCATGTAGAAGGCCAATCCATTTGTAGCCTTTCCATTTAAAAAACAAAACTCTAGCTATAATTTTTGGCATTTATGATCTGAGATAAACCCCTAGGTTAAAAATTAAATTATGGTAGGATCTGAGATTCCTTCATATTCCTTAGTGTGTTCTAGAAGCAGCAGGTACATGAAGTATTGAAATACTGAGTTAGTATCACAGAACATACTGGTGATCTGGTCTCAAGTTCCGGGACAGTGCTAATGACTGTTTTGGAACATTCCTTCATGAAATTCAAGTAGTTCAGCAGTAGCCAGAAGAGTTTTAGTCATCAAGGGAGTTTTTTTTTTTTTTTTTTTTTTTTGTACCAGGGATCGAACTCAGGACCTTGTGCTCTCACAGGCAGCCAGTGGTAGCACTGAGCTAAATCCCCTGCCCCAAAGGAGTTCTTAAAAACTTGATTTTGCTGTGTTGTCTCTTTGTCATTTGTAAGTGCCTGTGACCTGCAGGCTGTGGTAGTAGCCAGGTCACCACTGGTCGGTCACCAGCAGCCAAGAGAGGCATGAGACTATCCTGTGTGGTACCAAAACCACTACTGTCTAAAAAGGTGGCTTTGACTTATACAGTCCTTGTTTACAGCCCAGATGTAAACAAGGACTGCTTCGGGTAGCTCAAATTTGGATTTAAAGAGTTTCAATAGCTTCAATAGCTTAGGGTGAGGTGAAGGAGTGGGAGAATGTGAAGTTAACCTGCAGCTAGGTACTTTATGGAATAAATGTGAAAGAAGGATTCAGTTCATTCTGTGTGGTTTTTAGGATGGGAAAGTTAATGCCCTAAAACTGGAGCAGCTGTCTGAACAAGTGAGTTCCTTATTTCTGAAGAAGTCCCAGCAGGTGCTGGGGAAATACCTGTTGGGGTCCATCCACTGCTAGAAGGGAGGGAACTAGAAGATTCAGGATCCCTTATGATTCCATAAGTCTAGGAAACAGAAAAACCATGGGAGAGTTTCAGGAGGAATCGAGGGGGAAAGTTACATAAAAATGAGTGTGAGTACTCTTGATACAAAAGCGTCATACTTATTACTAAGTCATATGCAAGCTAGTAGTTTCCAGTGGTAACCTAGGCAAAACTGGGGTAAATAGTTAAGATACACAGTTACTTTTCTTTCTTTTCTCTTTTTTTTGCAGTGTTAAGTTTAGGTCAAACATACCAGAATTGTGTGTTTTAAAAAGAGAATTATACTAATTTTTCTTTCCCTTTGCCACAAGATGAAAGACACTGTAAATTTTGTCAATAAAAGCTTTAAAATATCTGCACATATACAATCAAGTTGACAACACTAATAGCTTTGTTTCAGTACAAGTTATGCCAGAGAACTTGTAAATTTCAGACATGGTCATCATATATATGCGATTTGAAATTCATCTCGACACAGATCTTGATAGTGAATCTCTTGATGACAAATATGCATCCAGTTTGTCCCGGAACTCATGAAGATAATTATATTGCTGAAAAAAGTAAAGATATATTGAAACACATTGTATAAAATTAGTTCCTAGAGCAGAAACAACACTAGCAGGAGTCAGGAATGAAGAAAACATTTGCTAAGAACAATTCTACATCTTCGATGAAGACTCATTTTGCAATGGGGCAGTTTTACCTGGCAACAAAGCTGTGTACAGTCTGAAAAGGTATGGTTTTAGAAACCTCTAAATATCTGAAGGCAATTTGAAATACAGCTGAATGTTTTATAAACCTGGAGGATCCATTCTTCCTTACTGGCAGGATCAAATAGGATAGCCAACAGAGGGGCATTATTTTTGTTAGTATTTTTCTCTCCAGAAGACATAGGGGTGGGGCAATTAACAGTGACAATTTAAGAAAATCTATAGGGGCTTTGACTCTGCTTTTTGTGATAACATGGTCCATTTGGAACGATTTTCTCTTTCTCTCTCTCTCTCTCTTTCTTTTTCTTTACTTTTTTTTTGCCACAGTGTCTCACTATGTAGTTGAGACTGACCTGGAACTCACTATGTAGCCCAGGCTGGCCTCAAACTCACAGCAATCCTCCTACCTCAGCCTCCCGAGTGCTGGGATTTCAGGCGTGCGCCACCATGCCCAGCTAGAATGATTTTCTTAAAACAAAACAAAACAAAAACTTCAGCAAAATAAAAGGCTTCATATACTGAAGTTGGAGTTTAGATAGCTTCCTAAAGGATATTTTCACTCTGCCAATCATCTCATCTTATACCATTGGTGGGACAGTGAATCAGGAGAGACAGTTGCAGACTGTTTTCCGCAGGAGGACGACAAAGACAGGAGCTCACAGCCCACCCCAGAGTGGGCCTCATGGTTTCAGGGTTAAAGATGGAGAACACAAGCGCATTCCTACTTCTGTCTGACCATGTGTTTTGTTTTGCATCAAAGAGAAGAAAACTTGAACTTCCCAAATTCGAAGCATTGTTTGATGTGAAGATAGATAATCAGACCTGGTGCAGTAAGGTGGACCTGTATGGACTGCTTTGTGAGTGACCTTATTTTAAGCCCAACAGGTTGTTTGGCGACTTCCTCAGTAATTACAGTCATCTATTGTGCACGGCACTAGCTGAGGCTCCTGGCCCTGGGGAAGGTGGACCGGAGCCCACAGAGCTGCCCAAAGGTCAGGATTCTTTAGACTTCCACTCCTCTAGGGTCTCTTCTTCAAGCTGACAGAGGATGCTTGGGAAAAGAAGGCAGGATCTTACTTCTAGATCTACAAAGACAGTGAAATTTGCTGTCTTTTTGGTATCCTGACTTAATTCAGAGTAAGATTCTTCATATTACCCTGTAATGTTTCAGGTGTTAAGGGGAAGACAGATGTGGAAGGTGACCAGTTATTGCGGCAAAAGACAATCAGCATTGCTTTAAGCTATTTGTGGTCAGTGTTTCAGAGATATAGGAGGATCATCTTTTGATGTTTTGGGCCAAAATTCTGTCCAAGGAATGAACAAAAACTCAGTAATAGTTTTGGAAGAGTGAAATGGAAAGTTTAAATTTTTTCATTATTGTTTAAAATATGTAGAGGTACATTATCCCAACAATGAATGTAACTGTACTGTATCCCTAAAATGTACCAATAAACTCAATAAAATTAAAAAAAAAAAAAATGACTAGAGCTAAAAAAAAAAAAAATACTGTGGTCTTGCAGATACAAGGTGAAGTAAACTAAATGTAAACAAAAAGATAAAAAGGTGTTTGAGTAATAGGGTGCTTTGGACTTTCGTGCGAGGGCCCTTTGGTCGTGCTATTCCACAGTAGGTGTGTGCAGTAGGATGCTCCTAACCACAGCCACCGGGAAGGGCCACGCTCCTCACCGTTATGGTCTGTATGGCTCCTGACCCTCGTACATCGCGCAGGGTGTCTATGGCTTGCTGTGGCGATACCATGTCGGACAGGTATAGGAGGAGACACGCGGCTACTGAGAACAGTGAAGTAAAAGCTGGTGAGTGGCAGGACATTGGACATTTAATTCAGCTTGTCTTGGTGCTGGGGACTCAGTGTGATGTAACTGTGCCTAGTGGATTAAAGGACGACCTTTTAGCGTGTGCTTTTTACACTGACATTATGATCCAAAACGACTGTAGGGTTGGAATTAAAGTTTAACATGCTTCATTCTAGTTTTTGTTTGTTTTTTGAGATAGAAGTAACTCATATACTATATCATTCAGCTATTTACTTTTTCAGTTTTTATTTTTTCCTTTAAAGTGTACAATTAAGTGAATTTTAACGTATCCACAAATATGTACAACCGTCACCAGTCAGTTTTACATTTTTGTCGAAAAGAAAGCCCTGTTCCCTTTGCTGTCTCCCTTCCCTGTGACCCAAGTAATCTCTGCTCTAAGTGACTGCTGATCTCCTTTTTGTTGTCTCTGTGCATTTGCAAGTCCTAGACGTGTGTCCTATTAACGGGGTCCTATACTGCGTGGTCTTCTGTGACTTCTCCTGGGGGTGGCCTGCATCCCTTCATTCCCTTTCCTGGCTGGACACCGCTCTGTGCTGGGTCCCTCCGCCCATCAGCCAGTGGGCGTTCAGTGTCTCCACTCTGGCTCTGTAAACACCCGATGTCCAAGCGTTTGTGTGAACTGTTTTACTTCTTTTGTGTGTACACCTCGGAGTGGAATCGCCAAGTCATGTGGAAACCCTGGTTCGCTTCTAGGAACAGGCCAGTTCCCCAAGGCAGCCACGCCGTTTTATGCTCCTGCCGGCAGTGTGTGAGGAGGACTCTCATTTTGAGGCATCCTCGCTGATACTTGTTATTTTCCTTTTTTAAAAACAATCCCAACCATTCCGATCGGGAGTCAAGTGGTATCCACTGTGGCTCTCGTTTGCATTTCCTGGATGATGAATGCCGTTAAACACCCTTTTCGTGTACTCACTGGACACTTGTGTATTTCGTTGGGAGAAATGTTTATTTAGATCATGTTCCCCGATTTTTAAATTGGGTTGTGTTTTTATACTGAGTTGTAAGAGTACATTCTGGGGACAACTTCTTCATCAAATATATGGTTTGCAAATATTTTTTCCCTTTCTATGGGCTGTCCTCAATTTCAGTAGTATCCTTTGAAACACAAAGGTTGTTTATTTTGATGCTGTTCCACACTAAAAGAACTTTTACTCTAGTGAGAGTTTTCATGAACTATTTTTGTTTGCCCTGGCACATTTCAATTTTTAAAAACTTACATACAGTAAGTGAACTTTAATGTACCCACAAATTTGGTTTATATGTTGCCTACTTATAAGTTATGCCAAATATAATACCTAGACAGGGAGAACAGTAGGAAAATAAGAATGCAGGTGCCAAGACTTATAAATGATGTTGTACAGAATCTTCTTAAAAAGCTGAAAATACCTTCCATTTCCACACAAGCTTTCTAGGGACATGTTTGAAACCTTAAATCCTTTGAATCTTGGAAACTTATATTGTGTTTTGTCACATTTTAATGTAAAGTGGCCCAGAAAAAGGAGTTTGGCTATTTTGAGGTTAAAATAAAAAATTAATAATAAAAATGTATTTCTTACCAAGACAAGATCTCCCAAGTCCTCCATAACAGCTGAAAGGGAAATAGTTTTGAAGTTTATATATTTTCATTCCATCCCAGGTTACAAATAAACACCTGTTTTTTCTGCCTACTGTTTCTAACTCTTACGCTTATTGGCACAGTGTCTTGCAAGAGAGATTGATTTAATCAAAAGCAAATTGTGCTTATTTATTTGATGTGAAGTATTCTAAACATCTGTAAGGGTCAAGGTAGAGTGGATCTCTGTAAACCCCAAATCGACATCTGAGAAATGCAGCATGTTACTAAATAGATGGAAATCAGGCTGTTTTATTAACTGCCACTTTGATTCTTTTCCTCTTTTAGAAAAAAATCTGGTGTGTACAGGACAGATGCTGTCCACACGGTGGATACCCTTCACTCATCTTCTAAGAGTGTACAGAAGCAGCAGATCAGAGGGGCTTAAAGCAGGGGCTGGAATCCTAGGTCTGCCTTTTGTTGGATGTGTGCACTAGAAAATGGTGATAGCATCCCTGCCTGTATCAGCAAGGCACAGAGTAAGACGTAAATCAGTGTTGGTTCCTGTTACCTGGTGGTGTGAAGAAAGCAGTTTGCAAACATAGATGCTCCAGAGAAAGGAAGGTCAGTCTCAAAGTTGCAAAACTATAGTTTTTGTCATTTTCAAGGGTCATAAAAACCAAACCACCTAATTTGCACAGAGATTGTACGAACCTAATTCAATACTGATGACTTCCCATCAAGTACTGTAGTGCATGGCAGATAAAGCTATAGATACTTACACCGGAGGATTCATGGGCAAAACGGGGACTGACCTCTAGAGTTACCCATGAACTTGATTTCTACAGGGGCCAGGTGTAAGCCTGTTCCAGAGATGATTCGATGATTCGACCAAACATACACAGACCGAGGGAGATCATTTTAGTGGCTTTCTGCGAGGTCAGTATTGCTTCATACTGAGGTACTGCCTCTTCTCTGGTGGATGAACTCCTCCTCATCTTTCAAAACCCAGCTCAGTTTATTTCCTGAACTGCCTGTGTGTGCCCGAAGGAAGGGTCTGTGATCTTCCTGCCTCTCCATGTTGCATTCTTCGCAACGCATTCCCCAAGGGTGGGCACTGCGCCTCATTTTGTAGTCTGCATTTGGTACACAGTGGGCGACATGGCCCGAATTCCACCCCTCAAAAAGACAAGCTAAAGTCCTCAGCCCTTCAGGCGCCTGTGAACGTGACCTTATCAGAAACAGGGTCTTTGCAAGCAAGTCGAGACGAGGTTATGGGACACTGATCCCCGAGGTTCTGACCCAGGAAACCGTGCGATGGCAGAGGCAGGGAATGGAGTGGTGCGGCTACGAGCCGAGGATTGACGGCCACACCCCAGAGGCCAGGACGGTTGAGTTTAGAGAAAGCATGGCTTTGTTAACACCTCTATTTTGGACTTCTGGCCTGCAGAACATTTTTGTGTTTCTGTGTTGTAAGATAACCCAGTTTGCCTTTTTAAAGGCAGCAGAATGGACCGAAAATTAACCTTTATCGAAAAGGGTCACTTTGGACACCTTGAAAGATCTAGAACAAGGAAAACTTAGCCATCAGATGCTTTCTTATTATGGCAGCCTGAAATATTCAACATAAGCAATGTGACCCATCTGTCTGTCCATCTTGTTTGTATTCTGCCTGTGCACCAAGGCTGCGAGAATAGAATTAAATTCCATTAAACTGAACTAGTGCGTGGCTCTGGAAAATTCAGTAGAGGCTGTTTTCAAAAATTTCTTTATAAAAAACCAGGACTGTTTTGAAAAGTGGATCCCAAAACTGGAAAATATTTTTACTAGCTGCATGTGACATTATTTTGTCTACATACATTTATCAGAAAATTAAGCAAAGACAACTGAATCTATTCTGACATTTTGCCTTTACACTTGGAACTAGAGGAGAGGCTATGCTTTTGGAAAGCTTGGAAACTATAGAATGTAGGACGGCTTCTAGTACTTTCTTGCCAGTCCTGTAAGCTACAGTTCTTTTAATCCGAGTTGAGCTTAGCCACAAAGAGGTGTTCTGTTGCCAGAGACTTTTGTGCTGGTGGGTTTGCTTCAGAACTGGCACTGGGCGTGCAGTCCCTGGGTGGCGAGATGAAGGGTTAAGGGGAGAAGGACAGGATTTGCCCTGTGATTACTGAGGAGTCTGTGCCTCTAGCTCAAAGCAGTGACCTGAGACACCTTTGGGATTTTTGAGGTGTCCCAGCTGTTTAGCACCCTACCCTGTTATAGAAAAGAGCAAGTGGCTTATTAGGATGAGACGTGTCCAGGAAGCCCAGCGAGGGGCCGGTTTTCTCCCTGTGGCTGCTCATTTGCCCAGAGGTTGCACGTCCAGCAGAGCAGCTCTCACTGTCCACAGACTGCTCCTCATCTTTGTGACAAGATGCTCTCCTTCCTCTGGTCACTGTCACCTTTTCTCCAAGCTACTTCTCTGTGTTTTCCATTTCCTTAACCTAATGCTGGGGAGTGTTCCCAGAATTGCAACGAAAGGTCTCAGACAAAACTAAAGGAGAAAAGGCCCTATTACTTTCTTCTAAAGATTTCCCAATCTACTTCTCTATTGTCCTGTTCTCGAACAGCAGAACAGTGAACATCTGAGCTGGGGATTTAGCTCATTGGCACTGCACCTGCCTCGTAAGTGCAAGGTCTTGAGTTCGAGCCCTGGGACCACAGAACAGTAAACATCTGGGCGCTTACTCTGTGCTTAGGCACTGGGCTAGTACTTTCCATGCATTCTGTTCTTTTAATCCTTGAAGCCAAAATAAGAGCTTAATCACTGAGCAGTTCAAGGAATCATTGGTCCTGGGCTGTTTCCCAAGTAGTGGATGGAGCAAAGGACACTTACTGTATTAGGGTTTTCCGGTTATCTCTGAGGCAGACTGCGAGCTCCTCCATTATTTCCCAGCAGCTGGCTATGTCAGGCGCCTCTCCGTCTGGGATGGGATGATGGTGCGCGATAATTCCACACTGCTGGTAGGAGTCCAGAAGGTTTGGGACTCTGTATTTTGACAGTTCTCCTCTGGTGCAGAAAACAAATATGTCCTGGATACCATAGCTCTTCAGTTCTTCTGCCAACAACCAAGATACACACAGACACACACAGAACATTACACATTTAAATAGGGCCAAGAGGGAGAATATGAAGTTTCTTAACCCAAATTAACAAGAAGTGAATTCATAGATTTGAAATGCCTATTTATAGCAGCAGAACCAGAAGGTGATTAGAATTAAACCAGATTGATTTCTAAATCAAAATAGTTTTTACTGAATTTCAAGATGAGTCAATTCTGTTGCTCTTCCTGCAGGAAAACAATTGCTTTTGCATAAATATGCTTTAAAATAAATGTGAAAATACCAAATACTCAAAAACAAAAAGAAACCCTTGGGCTCGGCACAGTGGCCTGTAATCCCAGCCATTTGGAAGGCTGAGGCAGGAGGACTTCAGGTTTGAGGCCAATTTGGGCAATTTAGTGAGGCCCTATCTCAAAAATAAAAAGGGTTAGTAATGTAGCTCAGGGTCAAAGTGCTTGTGTAGCATGGGTTTAATCACCAGTACTGCAACAAACAAAAACCACACCACATCTCCCTAACAACTCTTGAGGAGGAACGAGAAAACATTTTGTTTCTCTCATATATTTCATCACTTTGCTGTTCTACTGTAAGCCTTGTATATAAAATCTCCAGTCAGGGCTGTGGATTTAGCTCAGTGGTTCTGCCGCCTGCCTCGCAAGTGCAAGGACCTGAGTTCAATCCCCGGTACCAAAAAAACACAAAACATCTCCAGTCATAGCTCTTGTGTTCTCCCTCATATCTACACTATACCACACACCGTTGTGCATTTCATTTTATGGAGTAGAAAATAAAGCACTAACTGCATCCAACTTACATTTTGTAGCTATTTTTACTATAATGATATGAACTGAAAAACATTACTATAAGAATTGTGTATACTGAAACTTCCTTATAACAAACAACATCTCCAGTCATAGCTCTTGTGTTCTCCCTCATATCTACACTATACCACACACCGTTGTGCATTTCATTTTATGGAGTAGAAAATAAAGCACTAACTGCATCCAACTTACATTTTGTAGCTATTTTTACTATAATGATATGAACTGAAAAACATTACTATAAGAATTGTGTATACTGAAACTTCCTTATGGCAATATTTACTTTAGAGCATTTGCTTCAAAATAAGTAATTCTGATTGATCCAAGACTGCCCACCCCTGAACACATGTTTAGCTGCTGAAGTGTAAAGTGCCCGTTCTCCTGACTGCCTAGATCTGCAGTGAGTAGGGGCCTAGTGGAAATTCAGATGTAAAAGTGGACAGCTAGTGCCTGATTTCAGACTAAGCACACAAAACAAACTACAGTTTGCTTAATACTTAAAAGATGGTAAACTGATAGTATTTAGGATATATTAGATTAAGGAGAATTTAACATGGGGTTAAGATTCCTATTTTTAAAAGAGCAGGTAGTTTTCTATTTGCCTGTTGCACACTTTGGATAATTTCTCCTATCCAAAGCCTGTTTGTCAGATGTTTCCTAGAAAGGACTCAGAGTTGTACCATAGGACCTGTTGAAGGGACAGTTTAGGCCTCCAACAGATCTTTTTGTCTATTTATATACTGGATTCCATTTAATATTTTGTTACAAAACAAGGCTGAGGCAGGAGGGTTGCTGCGAGTTTGAGGTCAGCCTGAACTACATAGTGAGACCCTGTCTCAAAAACAAAAACAAGCAACCGAAAAAAGCTTTGCATAAAAAATCTGGAAATGCTTTCTATGCCTTCTATAAGATAATAAATGAATAGGGCATTCTAAACAGTCCTAGGTTGGTCTTAAGCCAGTGATTCAAATTATGTTTTATTACTTAAATGTTACCCAAATGGAAATTTCCTACCGTGGTGGGTGTGTCTAAAATATCTTTTATGAACATACAGCAAGGGTCAACTCATCTGTTTGCCTCTTTAGGTCTTTTTTGCTAGGTAAGTAATAAAGTGCATTACATATTTTTATTGTCTGTATTACAAGTGTTAGTGGGACTAGTAGGCTTGAGATGGTCTAGGCCAACCAGAATAAATTACTGTGGAAATTCGCTCTTGTTGGTAATATCATGCTACCTGCGTGTCAAAATCACGAAGCTGGGGGCGGCAGTGGTCCGAACACCCTCAGGATGGAAGGCTAGTTCCTGCCTGCCTTTCCCACCAGGATGCTGGCTTTCTACATTTTCTCCCCAAGATGGGCCATTTCACTGCTGCCTCTGGGTTCCCAGCCCATGGTTAGTTTCTATGACTACAGTCAACTCTGCAGGGAACAGCATATTCAAAGATCTGGGTAGTGTGAAATCTGTTTTATTTAGATACGTTTTCCCCTTACACATTCTAGCTTCAATATAATAAACAGTGAAAAGCAAAGCCATGTCTAAGTAAAGGATGTTCTCCCTGTGCCCTCCACAAATACTTATTTACACAGTAAGAGAAATTTATAGTTTGAAACCTCATAAAAATTGTGAACATTTTTTTTGGGGGGGCACCGGGGATTGAACTCTGGTCCTTGTGCTTGCAAGGCAAGCGCCAGAACCACTGAGCTAAATCCCTGGCCCGTGAACATTTATTTTATATATTAAGAAGAGACTATAAGTTTGTTCCTTTTGATCAGATTGCAGTTTGTTTTTCAAAAAAGTATTTGTATGACGGTTGTCTCATAGTACACCTACCTGTATCTTTTTGAATATTTCTTCTAACATCTTTAAATTTGCAACCTATACGTAACAATAAGGTGAAGTAAAAGGTCAGTATTTAGTCATGTATGACAGGCTTATTTACATACTTGTACAGCTTCTTTAGAAAGTCCCTCCACATGGTCATGTGTATGCTTCAACTCCATTTTACTATGAATTTTACTTTCTTAGATTCTTAGGAGCATAATTAGAGGGAACCAGGGATCCCTGCTGAAGGAACCTCTCACGCAGGACTTAGTTTTGTGTATTTCTGTAACATGAACTTGACTGTAGGTAGGCTTCAGCGTCACTGCTACCTCAGGCTTTAAATTTTATTGAAACAGCTAAACCACATCTAGGGCCATACCACCCTGAATGCACCCAATCTCGTCTGAAATAGCTAAATCAGAAACAAGAGCTCTGAATGCAGGTCTGGGAGGACCAAAGAGTAGGTTGTGTTCCTCCACAGGAACTCACTTAGTTTCCCGCTGCTGGTCTAGGGTCTTCTCTTAATGCGCGGCACGCAGAATGATGTGTGAGCTGACGGCAGCTGTCCTAAGTGTATGACAGGAGTGTGACCTACCTACCTACCTACCTGCCACTGCAGTGTTACCTACCTGGGAGAGCACATAAACCGAGAAACTGAGAGCAGTTCACTTGTGACAGAGGTAGCCTGAAACGAGAAATTTGTCAGGGTTAGTTTTTTGGTTGGTTAAAAAGTTATAAATGAAAACTCAGATTCAACTTAACCAACATGAATGCTTGCCACTGAGTAGGAGTGTTTACAAAAGTCACAAGGCCCAAAATCACGGTTATTGCCAATAGGTGGATCATAAAAAGGCCTAGAAATACTAAAAGATGTTTAGACAGAGAATTACCTTGTCATATATTCGGGTGTTAAAATAGTAACAACTTAAATTTACCTTAAAGACACCAATGCCTAGGTCACAACAGGTAGCACACAGTATACTGCAGCAATCCTGCGTGTGTTTACCTGAGATATTTTGTGTTACAGGTTGAGTATCCCTTATATGAAATGGTGGGGACCAGATGTGTTTCAGATTTTGGAGTTTTTTGCCTTTGAATATTTACATAGAGTATTTACATTACCAATCTGAAATCCTGAATGCTCTTAAACCCCACATCTTTTGAATGCCAAGTTGATGCTCAAAAAATCTGAATTTTGGAGAGCATCAAATTTCAGATGAGAGGCACTCAACCTTAGGGAAATGAGCTGGAAAGTGACCATCTGACAATCCATTTACATTACTAGTGATGATTTTTAAGTTGTTTTATCTTTTGGTACCAGGGATTGGACCTTATACTTGTGAGGCAGGTGTGGCACCACTGAGCTAAATCCCTGGCCCTACATTACTAGTTTAAGGGCGTTTCTTGGTAGGGATACCTTAATCAATAGCATGTCATACAGTGAAAGCCACAGGCTACTCATTCTTGTCGTAGTGGATTTTGCTGAAAATGAAATAATGTCAAGAAGTCACATTCCCAGCATGCAGTACTCTGGGACAGGCTCACCTTGTCTCCTAGTCAGGAGGTAAATTCAGAAGAAAACAGGAGGCGTCACACAAATGCTATTGGACATTGGAAAATGGATGAGCTTTTGAGTTTGTGAAGGAGCTTAAAGGAGAAAATTAAAGGTAATGCCGGAAGAAGACTATGTAGAAAATTTTTGGTTATTATATCCAAGTGACTTTTAGTCTGCTGATAGAGGCATTACTGCGGCAAATAGTTATAAGTATTATCTAGGATTTAATAAAAATGGTACATCTCGATATCTCAGCCTATATTTGGTCTATATTTTTGTCTTAAAGAGAATAAGTAGATTTAGGTGGGAGATCGTTTCAAACTCTTACCTCTACTTCTCACTTAAACCACTACGATGTTCTAAAAAAATAAACTTTATTCCGTGTCACAGGTATCCCCTAAAGATCGGAGCTGTGCACTCAGCAGAAGAGGTCACAATATTTTCAGTGTGCACTGTGTATTCTACAGAATTTATGACATAACATCACATATCTTAGCTCCCCGACTAGAAGTGCTAACATACCACGAAATCTGGATTGGAGTCTGTTCATCTTCAACAGGTTCTTCATCTGAGGAGTCAAACTCACTTGGCTGTATTGAAATCAACTTAAAAAGAAAAAGTGCTGTTACTGTTGTACCCAAGTCACGAAGTCTCCAAGAAGACCACCAAGGAGTCTCTTCTGATGTAATTTCGTGAGGAGTTTATTGCAGGCTCGAGCCCGGCAAACTCGAGCCTGGACCTCCAGTGGCACCGTCACAGCGGCTTCCAACTGAAGGCCCTGACCCATTTTCAAGACAGGCTTATATAGGGCTGAGGATTGATACTATTTTTAACTTTTCATTACCAAGGGTTATTATTGGGACACTTAGGGGAAATACCTCATTCTCATGAGGGGGATTATCTCATACTCATGAGGAGCTCAGGGGGGCACTATTTCTATTCTTAAGGAACACTTTATGTGATTACACAATTAGGCAAACTCTCTATACTCAGCAAAGCCTATAATATCTCTAACTTATTACTAGGCAACTATCGGGGAGGGTAAGTTCACTCTTGGGTCAGACAAAGAGGAACAGAAAAACAGGAACAGAAAAACAGGGAGGAGGTTGTTATAGCCCTTTGCCCAGAAAACTTGGTCTTTATATTCTGAGCAAAGGTCAAAGAGGGAGACCACCTCAATCAGAAAACTTGGCTCCTACAGTTACACAGCTGTAAAGATATATTTACATATGCTTTTAGCATAGCTAACCCTTGCTTAAACACCCACTGAATTCCTATTTGCAATTTATTCAGTTATCAATTTGGACAGCAATTTCCAAAATAAATGGTTACCCTTCACCATCCTATGAATAACTGCACCAGTGCACGGTGGACAGCGAGCTGGCGCGGGAGCCATGAACTGGTTTCTGATCTTGGCTTTGATACAGTCTGGGACATCCTGCTTTAGATCTCAGTTTTCCCCAACTATCAAGTGAGGAGATTTGTCCGGCTGTTCACAAACACTGCTTAGACTCTCAGTGGCCCAGCTGTGAAGGTGCAAAGCCTCCCAGGCAGAGTCAGGGTGTGCACTGATTGCAGGAGAAGGTTGTATCAGAATGAAAGCAGGAACCATGTGCTACAGAGCAGAGGAAGGAAGGAGCGACTGGGTAGGAGCGGCTGAAGTCTGCACAGTGGAGATGCTTAAACGCCGTTCTGAAGGAGCAGCAGGAGGCTTTTCTATTCAGGAACTGTGATGTCAAAGTACAGATGAAGCAGCAGAGATGATCGCTCAAAACCAAAACAAGCCCGTGCAGCCTCGCAGTTTGGTGTGGGAGTGCAGGTGAACAGCCTGCCTCCTTACTTCGAGAATCACAGGACCAGAACAGTGGAACAGTGGAAATGGACGGTGACCTGGGCAGTCGGGACTTAATTCTGGAGGCGGCATTTCTCCATGAGACACAGGCCTCGGTGGACCCCAGGGGCTCCTGTGTGACAGAGCGACCAAGGGAGCGCCTTCGGAGGGGAGCCAGCAGATCCAGAGCGAGGAGCAAAGAAAAGCTCGAGCTGCCGGCGCTCAGTTCATCCCCAACTCGGGATCGAATAAACCTTCTGGGATCAAGTGGAGCAGGAGCCCCGGGTCATCGATGGACAGCTGACGTCCTCCACGTGGAAACGGGGTGTAGCAAGTGTCACCACGCCTAGAGCCCTGCCTAGCCCGGAAGCTCTGTTCCACTGAGGCGCCGTTAGTCCCTAGGAGATCACATGACAAGGTCCGTGTAGGTTGCGGCTTGGAGCTCTGAGGGTCTGCCTGTAGTGTTACAGTCGGCTGAACCCCACGGCGGACCTTCAGTGGGCTGCCAACCCCGGGAGCAGGTAGTGTGAGCCAGGTGGGGCCTCGGCATCTCGCCAAGCAATTTTTACGAATCGAGATTTTAAGTTTGTGTCTACCGTTCTGCCAGGCCCGGGGATTCTGAACCCCAGGGAAAGTGCAGCCGCCGAGCCCGATGGCGTTGGGGATGGTAGCAGTTGTGATGTCGCCCTAAGCTGGGGGATGGTGTTCGCATACACGGTCGTCTCCCGGGGGCGCTCAGCAGCCCCATCAGGCAGTCCCGGGGGCTGGGGCATCGCAGAGGCTGCCACCCCGCCCAAGTCCTCTGTGCCTCAGTTTCCTCCGTGTCGCGACCCTGCGCCGCGGATCTCGTCCTGAGCCGGTGCGGAGAACGCCACCTCCGGGACCCACAGGACGGTTACGGCGCGAGTAACCGACCCAATCCGGGCTACTCGCACCGCGCAAGAACCAAGAACCAGGCTCCAGAACCGCTCTTGTCCCGGCGGTTCCGCTCCGCCAGCCCCCACCCGCCCTCCCAACTCACCGGCTTCATTGCTGGCCCCGCTGCCGCCGCCTGGAC